AAGGTTAAGAAACCAACCCTGTGTCCTAAAAATGACGTTCCCACAGAACTAAACTGTATTCTCAATTACGTTTAGCTAGAAACATATTTTCTCCTACGTTACGTTCGTTATGAACGTATCTCAAATACGTTTATTTTCTACATATCTTCTAGAAGCATATTTTCTCCCACGTTACGTTTCTTATGAACGTATCTTAAATACGTTTATTTTCTACATATCTTTGCCATGTATTGTCTTGCTTATAATAATGATAATAGTCATTTATAAATATCATTTTAGAGCACACATTTGAAATCAGTAGGCGAGGCTGTAATTTTGCCAGCTGTTACTCTCATGAGCGAGGCAGAAAATAATAGTTTTTAACATGCCAAAAAGCTGCTGTGTCGTTTATTGCACCTCAAACATTAAAACAAATCGAGAGTTCAGTGTTTCTGTACTTCCTCTAAGAAGAAAGGACAACAGAAGATCTCTGTGGCTTCAGGCTTGATCGCCGTTCAGATGACAGCGTTGGTTTCCCCAAAAGTGGGCGGGGCTGTAAAGTGACGTAGATTTTACTCTCATCTATTATTCAAAACCATTCTATTTATTCTAACGTAAATTACATGCCAGTGTTTTATGTTTTATTTTAAATCGTATAATGTCGGACTTTTTTTCCCGTCTGTGAGGAAAATAAATGGGGTTTAGAGCCTCAAAATACTGAAATTTGTATTTTTAAAAATCTTTTTTTCCTTATTTACTCAACAATAACACACAATTATCCTTGTTTTTATTTATTCATTTAATTCTATAATCTTGGGCTTTTTAGCCGTAAATAAAGTCACCGGAAACAGACGTAGGCCTATAAGGGACATTTTGAGGATACACACAAACCCACTGAACAGATTACCCAAGATCCTCAGCTTGAAGCTCGTTGATTGGATGTTTAGCCGCAATGCATGTTGGGATATGATGTTAATGCGATATAATATCCGAAAAAAATTAAAATAAATAATAATACTTTATTCCGAGTGTTCTTGCTTTTCTCTTTGGAAGTCATCACATAACGGCATTGTAATACACAGTTTGGCTGGATTAAATATTACACATCTGCTGTAGTTCTTTATTTATAGAGCCCTGATGAGAAGACTTCCAGACAAACAGGAGAACTGCCGCCAAAACTGAATATGTGACGTGGATCATAAATATATCAACAATGAAACAACACCTTGCATTACTTTTCACAAAATACGTCTCCTTGCAGTATCAATAGTAATTCAGCTGACTTTTATATTTGATCCAATTGGTAGATAGGTTACATTTACACCATAACGGTGCACAGCTGATAGAAAAGGACTTGTAGTTTTTAAAGATATTACTGATTTTCTTTGAATATAAGAATGTAAATATTGAGTTGAGAGAATATTCAGGGTATTTGGGTGATGGGAGACACATCTATGGAATCACAATTTCAATAGCTTACCATAAAATTACGGATATGCCTTTTTGTCTGTGATGTTTTACAAATCAGATATTAATGTGTAGAAGTAAAGCATGAGAAATAGTATAGCAACATCCTGTAAAATTATGTAAAAACATGAATAAAACTACACATCTTCAGATGTTATACATACATAAGTGTCCTACACTAATAATACAAAGTTATTATTAGTATGCTGTGTGTACCTTGTGTGCACCGCCTAATGGTTAAAGCACGTTATTGAATTATTTTTGTTGAATAATGTTATTTGATGAAAAAAATATAAAGAGTACATACTTTCATAGGGGGAAAGTAGAAGGTCAATGATAGAAGTATAGAATATAAAAAAATCAAGAAGATACTGTAAGTGATCTCTACAATAAAACAGTTTAGTGCACGATGTACAAATATATTAATATGAGGATGTGCAAAACAGACAAACTAATTAACCTTTATTAACACATTAAAGAATACTTTAGGTTAAGGTCTTCTTTCAAATAAGAAAAAAGCTTTGGGGGTATCTATCTACAGATAAATATTAAGCCTGACAAAGTACTTAACGTCTAATGTATTGCTTTCCTGCAATGTTAACTATGTTGAAGCACTTATTTTAACTGATATTATACATATGAATTATACTCTTATGTATGTAGATAGTATAAGAAATGTGCAGAATTTGACAGTTTAATGGTGGAGGTACACACATATTGATAGATGTCTTGTAATGCACTGTTGAGGAACCTGTGATCCAAGTGTTTCATTCATTGCATAACTACATCGTAGTTGTGTATATGATATGTCAATAAACCTTAGGAAATCTTGAAATATTGAAAGGGATGTGCAAAATAGCAATTATATACAGTTTTGAATTAACTATTAGTAGAGAATAACGAGTAATTAATATACTTTATAGAGATCTGCAGATAAATGTTTAGTCTTCTCAAGCACCAACTATCAAATATCTCTCCTGATTGTTGGCACTTGACAATCACCTTTTCCTGAATTTTACTCAGGTGTAACTAAATTCTGATTTAAGGGTTGTTTATATTTCACATCATTAATCAGAATCTGCAGAGTTACTAAAGTAAATGTAGTGGAGTAAAAATACCAGGTTAACCTCTGAATTGTAGTGGAGTAGAATATATATTAATGCTGCCCATTATGGATACAAGCTATTTTCACCCATGTAGTAATTACATGTTTTAAATGTGTACACACCAATGTGTTTCCTATCGCCTAAACCTCCAGGGCTGTACATAGTTTAATACTGTCAACTTCTAATTTTTGGAAAAACGAAAACGTCTTTTAAAACTACAATTCCCAGTAGATACGTGCCATAGAGAACATGTTGCGAAACACAATAGCCAGCATGTGTAGTTCTGGGGGGGCGTTCAAGTCCAGTTTTGAATAGTCTGCCGTGGTTTCGTTCCATTTCAAAGAGCTTGACGCTCGGCGTAACCTTGGCACACTGCCACTCCAACATCCAATCCCAGAGCTTGAAGATGAATTGTCAACGGGACTGTAGTCCCAAACGATAGCTGGGGATTATGGGTAGTGTAGTGTCTTCGGCCATCCTAAACTGAAATGTTTTTCGGATATCCTATCGCATTAACAACACCACATCTGGCGTCACAGAGATCTTCTGTTACTGTCCTTTCTTCTTAGAGGAAGTACAGAAACACGTAACTGGATTTGTTTTAATGTTTGAGGTGCAATAAACGACACAGCAGCTTTTTGGCATGTTAAAAACTATTATTTTCTGCCTCGCTCATGAGAGTAACAGCTGGCAAAATTACAGCCTCGCCTACTGATTTCAAATGTGTGCTCTAAAATGATATTTATAAATGACTATTATCATTATTATAAGCAAGACAATACATGGCAAAGATATGTAGAAAATAAACGTATTTAAGATACGTTCATAAGAAGCGTAACGTGGGAGAAAATATGTTTCTAGAAGATATGTAGAAAATAAACGTATTTGAGATACGTTCATAACGAACGTAACGTGGGAGAAAATACGTTTCTTGCTAAATGTAATTGAGAATACAGTTTAGTTCTGTGGGAACGTAATTTTTAGGAGACAGGGTTGTAAGAAACACATGTATTCATAACCCTGCGTTATTTAATCACTTGAATTAGCATGCAAACTCAACATTGAATTGTCCTCAACAGCATACGCAGCAGGAACATGGAATTATTTTTGCCAAAGTCAAAAGCAATACATGGGGCGTGAAGTAGCAAGTTGAGAACCGTTTATTCCTCACCACCTAACAAGACAATTTCCTTTGTCAACTGAGTTATTATCAGATTTTTCAATTCAGAGCTGTACTGCTCTGTGGTTGACAATGACTGCAATTGTGCCCCTGAGGTCCCAGACCAGTCAATATGAAAGACTAAAGTACACTAGAAAACAGACATCAGTGCAATCATTCAATCTGTAGCAGAGAAAAACAGAGAGTGGGGCTGTAGCAGCTGTCTAGAAGAACAGGGAGCAGCATCACTCTTATTGAACTGAGAGAACAATAAAATATAACCTGGGGGGCAGATCCTGCTGTGTCCCACACAATCAATAAGACTATTTTAATCCTATTCGAAGCTGCGTATGTGCACATGGAGGGACACGAAGGAACGATCACACTTACAATTGTGTAACCATACCTACAGTAGGCTATAGGCTACACGAACACTCTTGGTGGACTGCAAGCTTATGCAAAAATAAAAGCAAATACAGGAGCAATGCCCTGCATATAAGAACATGTTCACACTGTACCCACATGCAGACGTGTTGCCATGTACTTTACATTGTATATTTGCACATTCATGCACATTATTTCACAGAATAAATGCATCTATGGCAGCTCGTAATCTTTGACTGTATTTTTAACATTTCCTGCAACATCTCTGGCACAAAACATGCAAGAAAGTCTGCACTCAAAAACTAAAAGAGAGCACACATGTTCTCAGATTGTCACCCACGTAATGATTCAGTCTTTGTCTGATCTGCTGTCTGCTTCTGTCTATCTGTGTGTGTCTAAAGTAAAACTGTAATGTAATTAAAGCAGCTGGTTTACATAAACACTGTTTCACTTTATTCAGATTTGGGATCAAAACTGAGCTGATGGAATCAATTGAACTCTATTGGGTTATTGGTCTATTGGATTCTGTCATGGTGCAGTTTTGTGCAGAGACATTATGCAACAGAACACTTAATTGGAGATTATTAAAAGAGAAATGCACATGATTATATTTCATAAATACAACAATTGCAACAGAGAAAGCCAGACATATGTTGTTGTGCACTAACTACATCTGAATGATGGTTTTCTGCCGGGATTTAATCAGTTTATTTACTCACTTTTGCGGAGACTGTTACATGATCGGTCCTTACAAAAATAACAGTGCATTAATCCTTAGCAGAGCCTACATTGAATATGTTTTGAATAACCGTAAACGTGGAATAAACATTGCAAGAGTAAACAAATTGCCAAGATAAAGGTTAAACAAGTTCACATTCGTCTTAGGAGTGGATCGTCAAACTCACCTTGGTTGCAACGGCTGAAGCGAGTGAGGACAATTCCAAGAAAGAGTGAAGCGAGGAGAAATCTGTTTCCAAAACTCATGTCTGCTGCAACATTTATCACCGGCTTTATAAGAGGTACTTCTAGCCGAGAGGTAACGCGGACAGAGAACAAGCGCGTCTGGATCCTCACGAGCACTGGTCCTCACATTCGGTCCCGGTGGGAGAGTACTGCCGGGTGACGGAACAAAAAGAGATCCATCCCTTACCTGGAGGCAGCGGCGGCGATGGCAAGGAACCGGGAGATTGTGGATAACAATATTTAAAGTAAAATAAAAAATGTCAGACAAGTGCGAAACACCATGCTCCTAGCAACTTTGCAGATTTCCCATGGACTTCAGTCGCCGATATTGCATTGTTTGAAAGATCAATAAATTGTCCTAGTCAATCTGGTCTCTTTAGCGCACAGGTTCGTGACAGATTTAAGAAATCCTGTTGGCTGATCGATGATCCGCGGACGACCGGCTCCCTGTCTGCAGCCCGGTCCGCTGCAGCAGCGAGAGGTGAGCAGAGAGAGGATGCAGCTACACTGTGAGACTGTGCGCATCTGTGCAGGATGCTCGGCACTAGAGGGGGTAAGCTGACAAGGCAGTGGCGTGTGTGTATGTTGCCTCATTGGTTCAGGCTTCCCAAATTTCTCCACAAGGACCTCTAAATGATGAAATAGACCTGTGATATGATTTGATCCTATGAACCATGTCTGAGAGAACATTCAGTTGGTAGCCATACATGTTTGGTGCAGGATGTTTCCAGGATTGTAAAATAAGAAGGTTATGATCTAAATGGTTCAGTGAATTAAATAGTGCATTTAAACTGTATAGCTACTTACCTTTCAAATCGAAAGAAAATGAAAAATACATTTTGTTTCATTAAACCAAAATTAAACTAAAGAATAGTTTAGGCCTTGCAAGACATGCATTATGTTGTTTTCTGCATCCTCATCAGCAGTTTAAGATACACTAACTACATTAGTTTTAATCAGTAAAGCAGTAGTCTAGACTGTGGTGATGATGACACCTGGGTACAAATAAAGGGGCTCCATGCACAAAGACAGAGAAAAATGAAAGAAACCCCTGTTAGTTATTTTGGCAGCAGTGATTTATTTGGATTTGCCAACATTTTGCTCACAGTCTGTGAGTCTTGCATACAAATACACAATGTAACACAGGTCTACAGTCAATATCCAATTCGGTGTAAACAACTCACATGAATAAACCTCCACTTAAGGTCATAATGCACTGATGTCTTAGTGACAGTGATTTGATCACACTTATTGTAGTCACTGGAAAAAAGCCCATTGGTAATGATGACTTTTATTTTTTCATTGAGCAGCATTTATCACTCCAAACTACAAAAGCATTTTTAGAAAAACTGTTGATTATCTCTTGAAATATATATTATACAGATAGTAAATATGTAACCAACAGTTATGATATGTAGACATCTAATGGCATCTCTTGAAAACAAACTTTATCTCAGAGGAAGACAAGATACATATCCACAAATTTGCAGTGCGAGAGTGAGCTGCTCTGCTTGCCAAGCGGACAATGTCAGCCAAGATAAGGGAAGGTCTTCTTCTCATCTTCATGGACGTCTCATCGAGTGAGTAAGCAAACCCTCCCCAACCTGACCGGGTTAAACAAAGCAACGGTGGCTGCTGTGATGAGACCCAGTCAATCAGGACATAGGAACAGCTTCCCGTCAGCACAGAGGAGGTAAATACATCAACATCACAATCTGTCACCACCACTTAGCTCCCCGATCATCAAACAATGCGGAGAAGCTGTCAACTGACAACTGACTTTGTGCAGCGCAACGTGTAAACACATTGGAGGACGGAGGGTTGTAGAGTTGAATATATTGACCACGTCAGCGTGTTCGTTTCTATTGAGGCTGGAGAGAGTCCGCACAACCTGAACAATGGATAAAGCCATTATCATCACTAAGTAGAGGAAGAGAGCTAACAAACATTTTTTATACATGTTGCTGTTCCTCTTAGCAAAAAAAGGGTTATACATATTTTAGGCTGGTGGAAAAGGTGTGTGTTGTGTTGAAATTGTTGTGCTTTTCTTAGCACTTCAACACTTTCAGCACTGTCTAATGCCTTTATACCTCAGCAGCAATTTGTTATACTGTCTGCAAATGTTTGCCTTTTTGCCTCACTTTATTTTCAATATTTTTTTTCTATAGTAATACGTGTGTACATCAGTTTTCTCTTTTACTGCTATCTTTGTTATTATTTCTCATAGAAATAAATGATCTACTACCGCACCGCTTATGCTACTAATACTTCTACTAAAAATGCAAAAAAGAACATATTGCTAATGACTTCAATCATTTCTCATCCCCGTAGAGGGTGATAACTGAGAATGATGATAAAAGAGGGCAAACTGTTGAGAAGAGGTCCTCCACCCCCCTGCAATGATTTGGTTTCCTTTGCTGTAATGTTGGTCAATGAGGTGTGACTGTAGTGCAGAGGGGCCCTAACCGTGAGCTATGATCCCCCGTGTCCAGAGAGAACAAGCTCCGTCCATCTGTACTCATCACAAGCAAAGAGCTGGAACGAGACCACATCAGCACACCTGACAGAGACAATGAGACTTTATAACGCTAATAGCATCACTAATGTCTTGTTCAACCCATACAGAACTGCCCCACACGTGGATTTAATCCAAACTGTTTAAAACATAGGCTAAAAGGAACATTTCACCATTAATGCCCTGAAGCATTGATTGCTGTATTTTTAGAAATTTAAACGGCACGGCACTAGGAATGGTAAGGTTGGTGTAGAGGCCGGTCGGTCGGTCCACCACCTAAGTTGAGGCTGACATTTCTCAACAACTATTGGATGGATTGCCATGACATTATTTTGTACTAATTCCCTAGAGGGTGAACCCTAATGACGTTGATGATCTAATGATTTCTGCCATGATATTTGGTAAAGAAAGTAAAATGTCTCTGACTTTTTATCAGGTCAACATTTGTGTTTGTCCTAAATCAGTTTAGTTTCAGTTTTCAACATCATCATGTTAGCATAGAGTCCATTTTGGCATGATGATGGCACAAAGCAATATTGTTCTTCAGTGCAACCTAAACCTAACCCTAACATTTAATTAACAGAGCCTAGGCAGTATATTCTAAGTCTTGTTAAGACTCCTTGATATGGCTGTATGACTTCTCTTAATAAAAAGGAATGAAACCACAAAGTATGAATTTATCTCAATAGTAGTAATCTTGGGTGTCTTTCTGTAAAATCTACAGTGAAACCTGCATCACACCAAGCATAGCTATTTATACACCTAGACCATCATTTGATTAGTAGGGGTTTAAATCATGTGTTTCAACTTGTTAAGAGATGTTTAATTGGGTACTAAAAATTATAAAATTCTAGGGGAATCGATACAAATTTGTTGTTACAATAAGAAACATTGTCACATTTAAAAACAGTGAGTAACAGCTGCAACCCACAATTCAGTCAAACTCTGTTTAAGCCAAGTAAAGAGAAAGTAATTAAACTGGCTGTGAAGCTGTCCTTTCTAACGACTTAAAAGCAGCTACACAGTGTTTTTTTGGTTTGGAAAAATACAAATGGTCCTCTGAATCGTTGTGGTAATTACCAACTAAACAACTATCAAATATAGAAAATGCACAATACAACCTTTGCTGAGTAAATCTGTGAATTTCAAAGTGTGTTCCTTCACTCATCAATGCTTTAATGAAGTGTTAACATATTTGTTCCCATTGTAGGGAAACATTCTGCCTCATCCTCCAAAACGTTGAGACTGAAAGGCTTTGAGGTGCAACAGTAAACCCATTTTCCTGTTGTTGATTCTTGCATTGGCCCTGAGTGAACATACCATTTTCTATTTGCAGCTTCATCTTTTGCCTAAGGGCAAGACGGCATTGAATAATTTCAAATAGCACACACAATTGTGACATTGGGACAAACATTCGCTCAAAAACAAATCATGATTACGGTGCTTCAGAATTGCCTGCAGCAGTTTACAGTCTGCCTTATCTTCCGATTTGTTTTTTTAAATCAAACTCAGCTTTTGATTTACATGATGCGTTGGTATGGAGATGTGGTCTGTAAACACAGCCCCTGAGGCTGAAGCACATGAAGAACATTGACCTACTGCTATTACAGTACAAATAAAGCATAAAAGTGTTTCATCGGACAACAACGGTGCTATGGGTGGCTATGCTGACTTGACTTTTATAAATGTATGTATGTGTATGTTTGTAAAAAATTTCACAATGATATGTCTCATTCCATTTTAGTCTATAATACCCAGGATCTATAGACCTAACATGAAAAACCTTTTTCCAGTAAACCATTCCAAGGGAGCCTTTTTAAATTATTTCTAATGTAGCATCAGAACATGATGTCAATTTGGTTTAAGTACATGGTTTATTATACACAGAGCTCAGAGTCTATATTTACAATGTATATAGTTTGAAGTCCTTTTACTTTGAGGATATATGACTATTCATGTTAATTACATATTCACTTTTTTTTACTTCATCAAACCTTTGAAATATCAACCAATGGCCCAACTATCACATGTATCTCCTGTATCCTTCTGAACTTAGTGTCTCTTGCATACATCTGCATCTTAATCGTGATTAAACCATAATCTGTGTCTTGCATGTTAATGTTAAACTGTACAGTGAAGTACATTTATCTCAGGTTTCTGTCCTTGTTAGGGCTTCTGGTTTCTTAAAGAATAGAGATACAAGAGCTCCTACAGCCCAATCCCATTTCCCCCCAAATGACTTGTAGTGTCTATCATACTGCACACGGACATGCACACTCTGATACACACTTGTGCTGCACCTCTTAGGTTGCCCACCTCCCTGGCTGCCTAATGGGCCATAGGCTCTAATCTGGATGGCCGCGGTGCTCAGGAGAATGAGCAGAGCAAATAGAGAGAGCAGCTCATCAGGCCTGCGAGCCGCTGTGTCGGTAACCCCAGCTGTTAGAGAGACATCCGCCCATCGTTCAGAGATGAGGGAAGGAAACGGGATGCCTTCTAAGGCCGGGGTAATTTCCAGGGACTGACAGCAGATAGTTTCTCACAAACCTTTTTTTTCAACATCCATAATGTTCCTTCAGCTATTCAAGACTATTTGTTTCTCTCATCTTTCACCTGACTTTATTTATAGGTACCAGATTTATCACTGGTGTATTTCTTACTATTATATTTGTTGCAGGTAATATAACCATACAATACATACAGAACCAATAGGAAGGGCAATTGGATACAAATGTGTGTGAAGTGCAAGTGTCCAACACCTTTTATGATTTGTAAATGTATATACCAGCTTTTTTCGATGAACAGTTGAATGATATTAGCGTATTGCAAGAAATAAAGACTCTTCTAATGTGCTCTTCTGCTTTCAAGACTTTAGATAAACGGGATTGAAAAACATAACAAACCCTAGAGTACACCACTGCACACATTATTATTTGCATAATCTCCCATGATTCCTGGACATTTTCTTTCATTAAAGGAGTTCTGAAAGATGT